TATATACATATACATATAGTATGTACCAGTGAAGAACTCATAGGTTATAGCTGTAGATCGGTGCATACTAGTGTAATACCACTCGCTCAGAAAAAGGACTGTACGAGTGCTAGTCATTATACCCAAGCAAGTAACATATCCAGTCATATACACACACAAGAAAGTCCAAACTAAGATTTAAACCCTTAAAACCCTATATTTAAACACATCTAAGGACATACTTATCGTCAGCAATGCTCTCCTTGAGGGCTTTCAACTCCTTGCGCATCTCATCAATCTTCGTCTGCTGACTGACAATCTTGTTCTCGAGTCCCCAATTTTTCTGCTTCAGGGCTCCTAGATCCTTCGCTTCCATCTGGAAATAGGTGCAGAAGTGACGGGAACAGGTACATCGTGAGGCGTGTGGGTACTCAGTGTACTATACTCGTATTCATATAGTATATACACACACACAATTAAATGTATATATACATACGTATATATATATACATATATATATATATATATGTATATAATATAAGTATATATATATATATATAAATATACTTGTCTGCGATCTGGAAAGAGTTGCGCGGGTAGCGGGAATAGGTATAGAGTTAGGTGTAGTGTGTTCACAATATATTCTACTTGCGTATTCATATAGTAAACACACACACACACATACGTATATAATATAATATAATATAATATAATATATATAACATATATATATATATATATATATATTTATATATATATATATATAATATAAATATATATATACATTCCTGTAATCTGGAATGAGTTGAAAGAGTAGCGCAAACAGGTACATAGACAGGTTTAGTGTGTTCGCGGTGTTGTATACTTGCGTATTCAGATAGAATACACATACACACACATATACATATACATATATATATATATATATATATATATATCACATATACATATACATATACATATACATATACATAAATATATATATATATATAATACACACACACACACACGCACACACACACACATGTATATATATATCTGTATATATTATATATATATATATATATATATATATATATTATAAATTAGCTATATATACACGCCTGGCAACTGAAAAAAGGTGCAGAAGGATTGGAATCCAACACAGAGTTAGGTTTAGCGTGTGTGTGATGTACTATACTTTTGCGTATTCAAATAGTATACACACACTTACCTTCAAATTCCTGTGTATGCGACGTGCCACCTTAGCACGCCACAGATTCTGCACTATGATAACGCCGCGCATGTCTTTGACAAAGGCCTTGTGCGCACGATGTCCACGCCAGATAGTCTGGATCTTGGTGGCCGAATCGCTGGCCTTGAGATTCTGGTACACTGTTGAGAAAGAAAATGCATTGCGGAATAAGGATGTACGAGGGGATAAGAATGTATGACGGAATAAGACTGCATGACGGAATAAGGATGTACGAGGGGATAAGAATGCATGACGGAATATGGATGTACGAGGGGATAAGAATGCATGATGGAATAAAGATGTACGAGGGGATAAGAATGCACGACGGAATAAGGACGTACGAGGGGATAAGAATGCATGACGGAATAAGGATAAGAGCGGGGATAAGAATGCATGACGGAATAAGGATGTACGAGTGGATAAGAATGTATGACGGAATAAGGATGTACGAGGGGATAAGAATGCATGACGGAAGAAGACTGCATGATGGAGCTAGTAAATACATATAGTGTGGATCGTGGACGCCGAACCGCGTGCCTTGGGATTCTAGTATGTTCAAAAATAGTATATGTGACGGAATAAAAACGGGCAACAGAATAAATATGTACGGCGGAATAAGGACGTATGACTAAATGACCAAAAATCCAATAAGAATGTATGGCGGAATAAGGACGTATGACGATATGAGCAAAAATCCAAGTAGTCTAGAAGTCGTTGTGGCGAATGAAAAAGCGATAAATGCATGGATCTATGCACATGCCCATCCGAGTCCACATCTGAGCATAATACCACAATACTTGCTGGCTCTATAAGAACTCTAAGCATGTACAGGTATAACACATCAATATAATCATTTCAGGCGAACGCAAGTTCCAATACAATCAGCAGCACTATTAATCACATACTGTCACTTGATACATCAAGCATACATAAATAGTTGCGTAGGTATATATAAACATATATAATTATATCCGGTGAGTACATACGCTTCTTGATACATCAAACATACATAAATATTTGCGTATGTATAGCTAAACATGTATAATTATATCCGGTGAGTACATACGTTTCTTGGCCTGGAACGCTCTGACCAAGGACTGCACAATGATGATGTCCGCGCGCAGTTTGGCGTAGCGAGTTCGCGCAAGCCATGCCCTGTGTGATTGGTGGTGTATTATTAATCATTAGAAACGTGCAAAGGAAGATTGTGTCAATAGTATTTAAATGGAAATAATGGAAAACCCGGTTTTAGCAAGTTTTATGCGAGAGGATTGGCAGAAGAATACTTTTCATACATACGAAGTGTTATCGTTTCAATGGGAACGGATGGAAACAACGGGGAAACTAGCTTTAACATAATTTATATGAGAACAGATCCCGTAGTATGAAAACACTATGCATTGGTCTCAGGCAAGGATGATATTAGCGAATTCCGACATTTGGGATACGTTAAGATATGATATCGATATGCTCTTGGTAGTCAACGTTATTCGGGCCGTTCTACTCTTAATTTAGCATACAGTGCGGGGCATGGGAAATGACTTAGTGCGCATATACGCACAGAGCTCGTAAATATATACCACAATAGCCAAAATTATATGTTCATACATGTT